AGACACAAAATGACTCAAACTCAAATTTATTCAGTTACTCATAAAAAACTCAGTCAGTCAGTGTGACCTAAAATTCTTGATCCGGGCTCGATTAAAACAAGTTTTTAGGGTATTGACTCACTGAACAACACCCTCAGTCCAAATAGAAATATGACAACAACAAAAAAAGAGAATAAATGATGCATTCACACAATAAAACGTGTTTGATACTTTCGTATAGTCTGGTCCAGGGGTCGGCAACCTTTCTGATGGCGAGTGCCATTTAAAATTTCCTCAGAAGTCAGTGTGCCATATGATTGCATTAGGAATAAATTTAATAACGCTCTATATGAACAGTTACACAATATATAGAACCACTTTAAAGAATTATATTTGTTTGCAGATGTTGACAGCTATCAGCGAATAATATCAGCTATTTTGAAACAAATCCATAATAACAACTCCATAAAAGCAAATGAACTGCACAACAGACAATACAAATCCTATTTATGGTCTCCTCACAACAATGATAAGAAAAATAAACTAAGTCAATATGGCATGTTTGTTAATACAGAGACACACATGTTAATGTGATCTCTGGTCTCCCACTCAGAGACACAGGTCTCCAAATGTCCAGCATTCAGACGGCTACCTGAGGACTCATGTGAGAGAAAATCTGCTCACACAGACATGTAGAGCCAAATACTGTCAATAAGGCCTCTGCAATGTTCTGAAGACAGTTAAACTTGTCAGGCAGTGATGTCCAGCAGGTGAAAATGCAAGCTCCATGAACACGCAAAGCTGTGGATTCCGGCTGCTTCGATGTTGCATTAACTGGCATTAACTCAGCCAGTTAATGCGAGACAAATCTAGCTGCTCATTAAAGATTTCCGCTTTGATCAGAAAATAGAACATTGGTCCATACACCTGAAAGTCCCAAAAATGCATTGTGTCTCGAGTCTACGGATGTATCCGTGTGTTTCCGTGGTGCTGATGCTGTGCTGAGCAGAAAGCTCCTGAAGCTTTTGAAGTGTCGGAATGTGGAAAGTTAACAACGTCCCTCTCACCAGTAGGCCAAGTTATTTTTAGCCAATTACAAGTTGAATCTGGTAGTTGGGTTTGTTAGCTAAGATACCGTCATTAAGAAGAGGCACAACTAATGTGTCTATGCGAGCTGATTTGCGATGTGCACCGCTGGCGCAGCCATTTATTTTTTAATGCACCATCTCAGATTAGTTCACTGCGTGTCGTGCCCAGGGCTGGACTGAGACAAAAAATCGCCCCGGGCATTTTGACTAGAGACCGGCCCACCAGGTACTAAAGCCATAAAGCCTTTGAATGAAAACAAACGCTGTTGTGACAGTGATGTACACAGTCTTGTTGGTATATTAATGATTTCTATACATTTTACATCAGATAAAAACTTTGGTTGTAAGCTTCAGATAATTATTTAATAACAGCAAGACATTTTAAATGAGAATAAGAAAGTATTTCTCTGTGCCCCCTCTCCCTGTTAATGCCCTACCTGGCCCCCCTGGCAAAACTTTGCTAGACCCGCCCCTGCACAGTTACCAGCTGTCAGCTACATAGAAAAGGATCCTGGTGTTATTTGTCTCTCAGAAACAGTTCATAACTTCCCTTCAACTCATTCATGTCACCTAAACCTGTTTCTCCATCACCTGTTCAGCTCTGATGATTCAGTAAGGACATCTCCTGGTTTCATCTTCATGTTTCCCTCTCACCAGATATACAAACCGATATCATGACCAGCAGCTTTACAGCTGTGGCTCCAGCAAACATCAGCTGATACTAGAAATTAATATTAAATAAATTCTAACAACAGCTGATCAAGCTTAAACGTGCTGCTGTTGTTTAGCGCGACATCTGGCGGTTTCCTCTTTCTGGCGCAAAGTGGGCGATAAACAAACGAGAGAAAAGCCGATCAACTGATCACTGATCAGTTTAATGATTGAAGTAGAAACAGGAGAGGGAGGGGAGAGAATGAGAGAAGAAGAAGAGGCAGCTGACAGCGTAACGACAGAATAACTCCAGCTTTGTGTCTTTTTCCATTCTAGCTGAAGTTCGGGACAAACTGCATCCCTTCTCAGCTCAACACAAAATGCGTAATATTTTCTCTGAATACGGGACGATTCCATTTTTTACAGGAAGGTTGGCAACTCTACTAACTAACCTTATGAATAAAATAAAGTTCATTATCAGTTACATCATAGCACCGTCCCAGCTGTATAGAAACTCCATCATGCTAGCTAGTACGCAGTACGAGTTATTCTAACTGACTGTAAAACGTCAGCACAACAAAAATAAACTGCACCTAAACTTGGTTTATATCTGACCCAGATAGACTGCAGGTCATAACTTCTTACCTGAAGTTCAGTTCACCTGACACTCGGACCGGCGGCCACCTCGGGTCTCTCCTCCTCCTGCCTCCCCTCTCCCTCATCCACCTGCTGGCCTTCACCACTTGTTAATTTTACTGAATCTGTGGAAGCTCCACAGATTCAGTACCAAACTACTGAGTTATTTTTACACACCGGCCAGGATCTGGCCAATCCACCACCTTTCCTTGTTTATACCGTTGCAAAGAAGAAAAAAGTCACCGGGCCACTGAGCAAATGCCCGGTATGCCCGATGGCCAATCCAGCTATGGTCGTGCTATTAGTTAACCCTTCGCGTGCCAACTGTGGCACGCGTGCCTAGGGTTGCCGACCCCTGGTCTGGTCTAACCAAGTGACCTAAGTGACCCAGCATTAGGTGATATTTTAGCATTTGTCACTTCTGGCTCCAAAAAAAACAAAACAAATGAAAAACAACATAGTGGTTGCTACAAGTCCGGAAGCTTTGTTGTTTATGTCACAGAGCCCACATCTGTCTGTGTATAACATCTGGATGCCAGAAGCCTCCAGGCTGTACTCAGGGTTTAGACTGAAAATAGTTTTTTAATTGATTTTGTCTACAGAAAGTAAAATTAAAATGACTTTTTGTAAGAATGAACTCTTAAGTTTGCCCTGTGTTTTCTTTGTTACACTTCCTCATCTCTGGAAGCACAAAAACACATTTTATCATTTGTTGTTTGTTAAAGTCATGCTGACCTCACGCTTCTACAGCCAAATAATGTGAGATCAACAATGAGCTGGAGTTAGGAGTGAGCCCTGTGATGCTGCTCATTGGGAGTGTATTTCAGCTCCTGCTGATATGACTGATCACAGTGCACGCTCTGAGAGCTCAGTCTGTGTATTCATAAGTCTTCTTCATGAGCTCTGAGCCTCTCTGTTTTTTTCTTCCTGGGAGACATGAGCACCTACAGGCGGTGAATTTAAATGTGTCGGCCAGGGATGATAAAGGCCGACTGTCCATCCATCTTCACTGCTCAGCAGGACGAGTGCTGCTGCTGCTGCTGCTGGTGCTGTTGCTCGACCACAATCAGAAGCACATCCTGAACCAGTATCAGAGCGACGTCTGTGAGCTGAGACACAGAGTCCACAATCTGCAACTATCAGTCAACCACACACACACCTCTCTCTCTCACACACACCTCACACACACACACACGCACACACACACACCTCTCTCACACACCTCTCTCACACACACACACACACACACACACACACACACACACACACACACACACACACACACGATTATTTACAAAATTAAGGCAAATGGATTGTTGGGATAAAAACTATAATTAAAATAAAAATATTATGTAAAACATTTCACTAAATGCTTCAAGACCACATAAAAATAACTCTCTAAGTCAAAAGTTCAGAAAATAATAAATGTATATATATAAATAAATTATTATATCTGATTACTCCCCCTAAAAAACCCAAATATTAAAACAATATTAAATAATTACATACACAGATTAAAAAGATTTTTAAAAAAAAGCAATAATCAGAACAAGAATCCTGAAAAAGAAATAAAATTACAACAGCATTATGGAGTTGGAGAGGAATTAGAAATAAAAGACATAATAAATCTACGTGATATATTCTTTTTTTTTTTTTTTTTTTTTTTTGCCTGTCCCATTTGGTTCTTTAGCCATCAGAATTGTTGTCTGAAGACCAACAAGGATACCCAATGGATTTACTTTGCCAAATGGATCATCGTGGCATTGCCGTATTGGTCCATTTGGTCGATCTTTGTTTTTATTATTTATTATATTTTATTTTCAGATGTTACAGACGGGACAGACATGAGTGAGAGATAGGAAAGGGAGAAAGAAAGAGGAAGGAAAGGAAAAACAGAAGGGGAGAGGGACAGTGAGAAAGGGGGGGAGAAAAAAAAATAAAAATCTCCTGGATCACCTGTTGAGAGAAGAATAGAAAACAAGCAAAAAAAGACCAAAAAAACAACAACAACAAAGCAACATACTAAACACAACACCATCGCATTAATCTAGCTAAGTGTAAACAGCAGTAAATACTAAATATTCAATGTTGTTGTGCAGCACGCAGGACAGATGTGCTTCGAAGTAGCAGCCAAGAAAGGTGTAATTTGGGTCTACGAGCAGTGAACACCCATGGGCATACCTGTGTGGATCAGCGCGCTTGTATTCCAAAGGTTTCTCCATGTAACGATCTGCTAGGGAGTGTGGGGGGGGCCACAGCCCCGTCCTCCAGGGTGTGATATATTCTAAAATAATAAAGGTAGATCAAAAAAAAATATGTTAAGATGAAATTATAATAAAAAATTAATTATAGTTATGTGATTCTAACTTTAATTTAATTTAATATAAGTTTAAAAAAGGGAAATAAGGAAAAATATAACTACAGCACAAAAAGGTAAATAATAAAACGAAGAATAAAAATAAATTAATAATTAATAATGACAATAATTAAAATGTAAAATAACAAAAATAATTACACTAAAACTATACATTCATATGTAAATAAAAAATGAATATAAATAAAATGTATGATTAAAATATAAAATACCTGGGACATTTTCAATAATAAAAGATAAATAAATAAACAGTCATTACAGTAATAGCAGATCGTGTCTTTCAGTCAGATGACGTTGCTCTGAGGTCACACTCCGGGTCAACGTAAGGAGTAAACGCGCGTGTGTTTGACACCCGGAGAAAGGGAGAAAGAGAGAGACAGAGCGAAAGAGAGTCTGAGTTTTGGGTGAGGAGGGGGTGAGGAGGAGGAGAAGGAGGTTTCGAGGTTTTCCTCAGTGCTCGCACGCGCTGGGCTTGCTGAAAGACGCACGAGGCTGCTACTGGAGTAGATTCTAACCGGCGGGAGACGCGCGTGCCGTTACCCACCGGGCAGCTCCGGTGTGTGACTGTGTGTGTGTGTGACAAAGAGGAGGAAGAGTAGCGGACAGAGTCACATTGAGCCCGGAAAGTTGGAGTACAGCTGCGGAGTGATCGGGGGCAGCTGATGTTCTTCACCGAGGACAGAGCTCCATCTCCGGGAGAGCCGCTCCGGAGCATGCGCTCCTGCCCAGACTCCCACGCTTCTTCGTCTTCTTCTGCGTCCCTGCCGGGGCTGCTGTGAGCCCAGGACGGCGGGGTGGGAGGGGGGGATCCCACCGTGTCCGGGGTTCGTGCTAGTGCCACTATGTCGGTGGCAGTCCGCGTGATGTGCGGAGAGAGAGAGTGAGAGACCCCGACGCTCAGAGCGAGAGAACCATGACTTCCTGTGGGATTACAGCAGCACGCGACATGATCCTAATCGGCGTCGTCTGCCTGCTGCTCGTGCTCGGTGAGTACACCTCCGCTGCCCGCGTGCACGCGCACAGGTGAGGGCAGAGGCTCGGTTTGCGCCTCTGTCAGTCAGCTGGGTCTAAAGATGCTCTCGTGCTCTGAAACACCGAGTAACCGTCAGCAGGAGTACTCGGATACTCACAGAGATACTCCATTACAAGTGAAAATGTTGCAGTGCATGAAGTTAACTTTTAAATCTCCGCAGACAAATAGCGCGCGCCCTTACCCTCAGACCCATGTACCAGCCGTGACGTGTTAGAATAGTACAGAGTACTGTGTGTGCAGAGTACTGTGTTTACAGAGTACTTGGTGTACAGAGTACTGTGTGTACTCTGCTGTACATTCTGTTTGGATTTCTATTATGTTTCTATTGATCATCAGAGCCATAAAGAGCATCTTTGTTACATTCAGTAAATGAAATATATTCAGGTGAAGTACTCTCTGAGGTACTGCCATTTTATCCCTGACAGGGTGTAGTTATTTGTACTCCTAGGGGTTTGACTACTTCTACACCTCTGCCTTACTGTGAGCTTCTACTAAAAGATGCTGTTACCATGCTTGATACCAGGACTGAGGACAGCAGGTCTTGGGAACATTTGTTCTGATCCTGAATATTTTAATCTGAACTTTTTACTGCTGCACAAACATCCACGTACCCCTGAAAGGTCACATCGTTACCCCGAGGTCCAGTAATTAGCTCTTTGTGTGGCCCTCACCTGTGGGAGCTGTTCCTCTGCCCCTGGTTCTGAGCACTGGTCTGATGTGTTGCAGCTTGTTGAGGTGGAGCTGTGGGGTGGGTGACACAAGCTTGTGGTGCTGGAGCATTTCTGTCTGCAGTGGAACAAACAGAGTGTGGAGCCGTGTTTTTTCGTGCCACCTTTTTTTTGTGTCTCTGCAGAGTGTAAATGCACGTTTCATGAGAGCAGCACAGGATTTTGTCCCACTGTTCCAGCAGGGGGCGCCTGGTGCCCTACTGACCTAGCACTAACCACAGGAAAGTCTGTAGAGTCATCCAGGTTATTTTTTACAGATACAATGTGCAGATGTCCCCTGCAAGCATCGCGTCAGGTGCTGATAAAGTGTGAGATGAGGGGAGCCTGCAGAGTGTCCCACAGCTTCCATCAGTTACTCATCATAGGAGACTCAGTGAAGGCCAGCTCAGGTCTCAGGTCTCAGGCGTCAGTCCCGGTCCAGTCAGCTTAAAGGTGTAGCATTGTTCACCAGCTCCAGCAGCTCCACTAGCTCCGGTTCTGAGGTGGCTATGTTCCACAGTGCTCTCCTTAGACCAGGTGAACAGGAAGAGCCTCCTCGAGTGATTGTGAGGATTAAGGAGGACTTCAGGGACCACAGCCTGTGTGGGACATCAGTATTCACTGCAGACCATAGAAAGCATATAAAGATGTGGATGAACCCACAGTAACAGCCTCGTTCATGAATGTTTTCACACGGATTACAAAGAGTTTAGGTTCATGGTTAGTTGAGAGTAACGGGTTAACGGTCCACCTGGCTGTAACAGACAGCTCACCTGTAAGAAACAGCTGCCTCTTCGAGAGGTGGGCTTAGCTTTAGTTTGCACTGCTCTTCACGTCATCATTGCTGATCTCACCACCTCAAACTCTGGGACGGCCGTCAGCTTTCTGAACTGTAAAGCCTTTCAGATGAGAGCTCAAACATCTGCAAGGACAAAAACAAGTTCAGCTCAAGCACCTGATTGTCTTCTTCAAATCCCAGAATCAGGAAGCTCTGAAACACATCTGACAGTTAGAAATGGTCCAAAGATGTTCTCCAGATGTTCTCACTGAAGGATTTCCCTGCTAGAACTTTAGACAGAAAGAAAAAACTGAACAGCAGCAATATTTGGAGGGCAGGTTGAGGTACATCAGTCGTTACCTGCAGAGCTGTGGTTAGGCTCGTATGAACACAGAGAAGATGGAGGATAAGGGTGAAAATCTTCCTAAATGAAAGTTCACTTTGAGGTCCCTCAATGGGCAGAAGGCACAAAGAAGATGCCAAACGAATCAAACTTCAGCCGAGAGAATGGGTGAGATGATCTGTCCACAGCATGAGGTCAACCATTCATAGTCTGGATTACTCACTGTGAAAGCCATGATCCCCAGCTTCTGGTCCACATGTGAGGTTTCAGGAGCTGTACCAGGGACGAGTAAAATGGAAGGAGGAGCATGCTGCAGCACTTTCACTTTTACTTTGAAGGAGAACTACAGCTCTTTGCACTTTTATTTTGAAGAACCGCAGTTCTTTGCACTTTTATTTTGAAGGAGAACTACAGCGCTTTACATTTTTAATTTCGAAGAAGGACTATGGTGCTTTGCGCACTGAAGGACAAAGATCTGAATGTGTGTTTGTTCCACATCGTGTTTCCTCGCTATAACACAGCCTTTATATTCATTCACAGAATTATTATATGATTATGCTTCTGGTTATCATAGGTAATTTTTGGGACTGTGAAATGTCAGCGGCATGTAATGTAATAGTTTACTTTTACCCTCCTGCCTGGTTTTGTGCCGGTTAACCGTTAGATCGTGTTGTTTGTTGGCGTTCAGCATGTTATGTCTCTAAAATAATGACTCCAGCAGCTCACACACACACTTCCTGTTTCTGAAAACCCTCGAAATCCCACGAAATGCACACACCTGCTATCTGCGGCTGCCGACAGGTAAACATTCATTTATCTGGTCCCTGTGATGCTCGCTTAATTGGATTCACCCGCATGCTATTGTCTCTGCTGGACGGAAGCTGTTGAACTGCCTGACAAAGGCCACGCTCGACACAGATGGAGCTGAGTCTGTGCGCCCTGGAGGAGATGTCGAACCGGATTAGTGTGGGATATTTTCTTGAGGACATCCGCGCAATGCCTTCTAATGTTTCCTATTTCAGTTTCATATGTTTCTGTCACAGCTAACGGCCGCTGGAACAACAATAATCTACAACAGGAAGACATATATGATATGATGCTCTATGAACACGTGCTGGCTTTATCCTCAGCTTCTTATCAGGAGATCACCTCATCTCGATCCGAGATCCATCACTGAGCCTTCAATCTGCAATCCTGAGTTACAGCTGAGAAACTGAGGCATAGCATACAGACACACCTCCACCTGCACCAGAGGAAAAGCCTGCCTGAGTCTGCAGAGACGCACATTTATCTGACGAATAGCCCCATTAATATTTTTACATTTAGTTTTAAACGAGCTCTGTTTGAACTGATTAGTTTGCTATGTTAAAGAGGTGGAAAAAGATCACAAAGAAGCAATAAGTGACAGTAAACAGGTGCCAAAAACTACAAAGAGACAAAAATATTGGAAAAATATTTAAAAAGACCATACGCACACACAAAAATTTAACAAAAAGCAGAGCAGAGACACACGGTGACTCTAATGAGACACAAAATGACTGCAAATAGATAAAATGATCACAAAAGTAAACAGGAAGTAAGTGAAGCTAACACCTCTGTGTCTAACTCCCGCCTTCTCCCTGTTTTCCTGCAGATGTGTGCGTTTGTGACTCGGAGCTCGGCACCCCCGGCTGGAGGGAACCTCTAGACTGTGTCCGAGCCTCCGAGCTGTGCAACCAGAACAGCCAGTGCAGCTCGCGTTACCGGATCATGCGCCAGTGCCTGTCGGGCGGGGACAAGGAGCGCAGCGCCATGCTGGCCTCCAAGGAGTGCCAGGGGGCGCTGGAGGTGCTGCAGGACTCGCCGCTCTACGACTGCCGCTGCAAGAGAGGCATGAAGAAGGAGCTGCAGTGCCTGCAGAACTACTGGAGCATCCACATGGGCCTGACTGAGGGTAAGCCTCCCATGCTGGGCCCTGTCCAGAGCTAATAAAGCCTCCTGCTGCCGCCGATGGAGCACAGCAGCTTGCTGGTGTTTTTATGTCAGGTCTTCTCTTCACACGCTGAGGTCGTCTGTTGGCCTGAAGCGCAGACAGAAAGTAGAGAAAGTTTTACTCAGTGAGCACTTGCAAACAGCAGCTAAAGACGTGAGAGAGTGCAGGGGAGCAGCCTGAAGTCTGATGTGACAGGAAGTGTGTTTATTCAGGAGACGCTCAGACATCATCACCAGAGTATGAAGAGATTTGACAGGAATGGGGAATGGATGAGTTACACTGTGTCTGCAGTGCGAGCCCTGCTGTTTTTCATCAGTATAATTTGAATTGGCTGGATTCTTCATGCTCCTCTGGATTGTCAGGGAAGCATCACTGATCCCTCAATCTCTGCAGGTTCTGCATCCTGGGCAGAGTTGTTTTTCTGGCTGTTTATGTGTGATGGACAGTAGATGTAGTGAAATTCTCAGCAGCACGAGCCACCCTGAATCTAATGACAATGGGATCGTGTCTGTGCAGTCAGGTTTGAGGGAGTTATTACTGATTGTTTGACAAAATTGCTGCAATCATGTTGATTAGTGGGTGACCTTTAACCTGGGCTAGCTGCTGGTTCAGATCGACTCATATTTGTGCTATTTTTTTAAGATTACTCTTATTTCACCAAACTATTATTTCATTATTGATGCTGGAGTTTTAGGGCCGATATTGATAACCATCCCACCATCTATCGAACGCCTGGTTTTGGGTCCATGAGGCTTGGTTGGACACCTACTGAATAACATGGATCTGCTGCTCAGTGAGCCCACCGCCCCAGAGGGCCTGGGGTTGGGTGGAGTGTGAGCTGGGCTGTTGACAAAAGTGGGATTGGTGTTTATGGACCCCCAGACTGGACTCAGTTAATGATTTTTAAAATCCAGATGGTAGTTAGCTGTAAATACATGAAGTCAAAGAGTGTTGATTTTATCTATCGGTAAATCTCGTGTAAAGGCTCAGAGTAAAGATGCTTTACTACCATTTAGTTTCTATAATAACAGACAGTTAGCTGTAGCATAGCTTCACAGCATGTATTCGACATGTGACTTCATCACATCCAGGTCAGGTGTATATGAAACACAGTTCATACAGCAGAGCACTGTACCCCAGGCTGCCTACAGACCCCCACAGTGTCTGTGACCTGTGGGTGTCAGGCGTCCCTTCCTCTGCCATGTTTCACTGAAATCTGCAAAACCCAAAAACTCTCAGTCCAAATAAACCTGCAGCAACGCTGAGGTTCACCCGGGGCTGTGTTCCAAACTTTGTCAGCTCTGACTTTGTGATTTTACAAAGGGAGGGCGGCGTGTTTGTTTAGCTGTTTGGTTTTCTGCAGAGGAACCTAAAAATGATTTTAATCCTTTTAAAGTGTCCATCGCGAGCGCTCCAGCGGTGCGCCGACAGACGAGCCTCTGACGGCTTTCCGAGATGCTTCTTTGGGAATTTTAGCACAACAAACGAGCCGCTCACATGAAACGCTCGCTCGCTGCAGAGCTGCTGCGTTCTCAGTCACCTGGATAACGCCCGTGGCTCGTTCACATCCCACTGCCACACACACACACGTGCACACAGCCCGTTGGCTGGCCTAGTTTAGGTCTCGGCAGTGGCAGAGCTCATTAAGAGCCTTTGTCTTTGTTCTCCTTTCCATTGAGGATGTCTCTGTAGTGCCAGCAAAGCTAGCAAAGTCTCCACATCACACACACACACAATGCTGTGCGGAGACACACAGGCCGTGTGTTTAAGCCTGACAAAGTTGTAATGTACAGAAACACAAACATGCTGTCTGACACGCAGCAGAACAAATATCTATACCCACTAACACTGCACGTGCTCACACGGCTTTCCTTCGTGCTGTGTTTATGTGTCTGAGCTCTGCAGTGTGTTTCAGAGTCTTTTTGCATTAAAGCATCACATCTTAACCTGGCGATCAAACATCTTGGTCGCACACAGCTGAAGGTGGACCAGTGAGAAACGCTTTGAGATCCAGAGACAGAGTCATGTGCAGTTCTTAATGATCTTCCAAACCTTTATTATTTCCTCTGCACTGATCTTGTTCACTAAAATCTCTCTTTTAGTGACTTTTAGCTCAAGCTAAACCAACAGTGAATGACTTTTAGGGAGGGGCAACGGGAGTGTTTGGTTTATTGGACAAAATTAAATGAGCTTGCCTTGTTTTCATCATCTCTAAAAGCCAAATTATAATCTGATCAATCCTCCAGCCCTGCTAGAGGCTGATGACCAGAAACACTGTGTTTATTCAAAGACAGGACCTGAGCGTGAAAATTACAATGCTAGCTGTCACAGAATATGTCCAGTTTGGACCCTGAGAGGAGGTGGAACTGAAAGTCAGTCCTCAACTGGGCCCAGCTTGCACAAAAGCAGAGGAAAAAGAAACAGGAGCCATGACTTCACACTTAAAGGTAAAGCTTGCAGAGTTCAGAAACCATCAAGCTTCCAACACAGAGCCTCAGTAGAGGCGACTGTGCATCTGAATGACTTGAAAGTATTTGGCAGAAGTTGCCGTCCTCTTTCAGAAGAGCTGGAAGCCTCTTGGGGAGGTACTGAAGATGGGTGTCCAGGTTTGGTGAGATGTTTGAGGATTACCTGGTTACTTAGCCTGATGATGGACACCTGGATGAATTAGGGTTGGGCGATTGGACGAATATATTGACTATCGTTTTTACAGGGGAGATTTATTTGCCCATCAGTAAGTTTGCTAATAATGATGGAGCTAATAGAAGCAGTCAACAGAAAAAAAAAAATAGCGCTGTTTTAACAGCACCCTCTTTCATCTGTGAGCAAATGCACCCTCCTCAGAGTGCGCCCAAATGCTTGTTGATGGAGCTGCAGAAGCTAGTGATCGCCGCATACTCAGCCGGATGGTGGACACGTACATGCTCATGCAAATTAGTCGCGTTTGAGTACTTTGCTCGCACTATACGTCTGGACAAGTGGCACACCACTTTGGTTACATCCTTAGGTTTACCTCTTTCATCTGGTTTAGAGCCAAAGAAATCCCAAATTGGCGACTTTATATTTTTTTAGTGCTGTCAGTGCTAACTAACGCGATTAACAATTAACCCATCTGGAGGGTTAATTGTTAATCCGACCCTACTGAGTCAAAATCCCTGAAATGTCTCTGTCAATGCATATCGGGCAGTTTGTCCAAAAGTTTGTTCATTCTGCGCTCCAGATGGGTTGAGCGCGTTAAAATTTTTAATCGTGATGACCATGTTAACGCTGCATTAACGCGTTTCTTCCTGTCAAAAGGGAGTTTTTCCTTCATGTTGTTGCCAAAGTACTTCCTCACATGGGGTCATGTGATTGTTGGGATTTTTCTGTAATCCTGTAGGGTCTTTACCTTACAGTATTAAAACACCTTGAGGTGACTATTTTATTGGTGCTATATATAAAATTGAAAATAAAATTGAATTGAATCAATAGTTATGTTTTTTTAGTGGGTATGAGGGATGATGATCAGTGCTACAAAGCTGTCGCATCAGAGACTACAGTCCTCTCCAAACCTTGAACAAGGTGACAACTCAAAGTTAAAAACTCAAACAGTGTTTGTGCACTTTCAGCTAATGAGCAGGATTTCAAGGGTGCAGGTAAATGGCTTGATGTGGCGCGCAGCCTTGAGTCATGAATCTTAAAAATGATTTGAACATGGCAGCAGTCTGTGCAGATTGCTAGGAACGTCAGCGTGACTACAAAGAAGCTTTAAAAGGTTTCTCACAGGAAAGTTCATCTGCTGCTCGCTTAATTACATCCTGCTTCTGATGGGTTTATAAAAATTGTGCTCCTGTAGTTCTGGCTTCCAGCTATATTTTTCTTTCATGTGACACTGAACAAAAGATTTTCTCTTGCACTGTTTGTCTCGTTCATGCATGACGGGCAGGAGGGGATGTGTTGGCTTTTCAGCTTAAAACTTATAATAGAAGTCAGGAGGAAGAACAGGTGAGACTGAAAAGACTCCGAAGTTTCTCCCAGTACGAGGTTCAGCCTGTGTTTATGTGCCTGGAGAGGTTGATTTAGGAGACAGGTTCAAAACTCAGAGCTGTGGTCATCAGAGGAGCCAGTCTTTAACTACATAATGATAATAATAATAATAATAAGAACAACAACAACAACAACAAAAATGTCACTAAGAAATAATGATAATAATGATAGTAATAATAATAATAATACAAATTTTACAATGACTGTTACATCACACACACACAGAAAATCTACAAACACAGGAGTGAAACTAAAGTGTGCAGCAGACATCCAGTTTGAGATCTTTAATCTACTCTTAGGTTTTTAATCTGATTCATGTTAAAATTAGTTCTCGGTCTCAAACTTGGTCTTTAGTCTGATTTTCATTCTTACATGTTTAATCTAGTCTAAAGATTTTAGCCAAGTCTTTATGTGTTATTCTGGCCTAAATAATCATCAGTAAATTCCAACCTAATCAGGATTAGTCCTGTCAGATTATTGGATTTTTGGCTGCTAATAAAAAATAAACCTTGAAACTAACACACAACGAAATGTCTTTTGTTTTGGAAATGAGAGGTTGGGGTCGCTGAGGGCCTCACATAGATCATCTAGTCCTTAGTGTTACATTTAGACCTGAGTCTTGTCTTTAGGCCTAATTCTGTAAATTTCAGTCTAATCTCTGCTCACTGCTGGGCTCAGCGCTGTGTTCAGGAGACCTTCCAGACATTTCTACATATTTTCGTGAAGGGTTTTCCTCTCGAGACTGCAATGCTTCCACCGCGGAGGTTATTTGTGTGTTTTTAGTCAAAGATTTACTTTAATTGTTATTAAAGTTCATGTAGATGGGCGAAGACTCTGTCACTGTGTGATGCTAACTTTCAGAAATAATGCTGTCACATCCTCTGAAGTGCGTCTTCACTCCTGAATGTAGTCTTTAATATGTGATGAAATCTTTA